CGGTCGCACCACTCCCCGAGGGCTCACGGGAAAGGGGCGGGGCCCCGGGCTGACAGCTGACAGCGCCGCCCCGCCCCCGCCGCCCTTAAAGGAGACGCGACCCTCGCGCTTGCTCAGCCCGGTAGGTCGGTCCCCACAGCGCCCGCTGCCCGCCCTCCCCCCAACTCTGGGCCCGCACGGTCTGGCGCGGCCAGGTGAGCACAAGCAGTCGAATCAAGCCCATGGCCTTTTGGCAAAGAAACCTCGGCCCAAGTAAGCAAGCCGAGGCAGGTGGACTTTGATTCCCGGACTGAGCCCTCCGGGAACAAAGCTTTCACAACCCACCTCCCTATTTCCCCCCGGGGTCGCTAAACTGGATCATAAGTTGTCCCCTTGGGAGTGGCCTCAATCGCCATCTCTGGAATTTACCTCGGATTCTCCTTGTTTTGTCCTCATTGGGAAAAACACACACCACTGCAGTCGTTCAAGCAAGAATTGACTCGAAGGCAAAGCTTATGCTTGTGTCTGTCTGCCGGGTTTTCTTTACACATAAATACCCGGTGAAAGTCATCGCTGTCGTCGGGACCTGTCCAGAGAAACTCATCAACCGTGCAAAGATTCAAATCGGTGTGTGATGACATTCACCGGTGCTCCAAACACTGCCCTCCTTTCTCCAAGGAGAAATCATCGGTGGTGCGGTGACTTTGTCCCACTCCCGCACCCTTTTCTGCTATCTGAAAGCCACCCCTCTCCTCCCCCCACCCCCTCGGAAGCTGCCTTTGACATCTTTCTTCCTCAAAGAGTATTTTCTCAGTTCTCAGCCTCCCACCAGAATTTTCACAGTTTTCACCTCTTTGAGAACAGTGGGTTCCTATTTTTCCCTCCTCTTGAGTCACTCTGTAGTTAGTGTGGGCTTTTGGTTTTCTCTAAAAATCTCTTGTCTCCTCCACATGAATGAACTACAAATTCCCGGCCCTGGCCTGCTGCCCTCCTTTCAGGCCTCTTACCTGTTGGATAACCAGTGTAGGCAGTTGTGGTGGCTGCCAATTTCAAAAATGAAATAGCTTTTTAAATGAGATCATTATCTTCCCCTACAATCAAGTATTCTTTCTCAAAATTCCCTGCCATCTATGGTACCATTACTGATCCCATTCCTATGGTGCTGCCTAGATTTCCCGATTTCTTAAACATCTGCCTCTTCTGGCTGTGTAAGACCTCCTGACCAGGACCAAGACCTTCCAGGAACTCCAAG